CACCACTCTCTAGGTGAGATAATACAGACTATAAGCCGAGCAATTCGGGGTTTGGCTCGCTTGGTAATGCCGTAATAAAATCATACTCCCATCAAACGGCACTGCACACCCCTTAAAAGGAGAAGCCGGGGAAAAAAGCCTGGAGATTCGCATTCCTTTAGTCACCGATTGGATTTTATTTGACGAAGCCGCCCCTAAACGGACCAATGGGAGCGCAGACGCTCAGCGCCGGCCACGCCCATAGGAACTCATACCGTAGGGGAGCACGGCTCTCTACACCCTTATCAACTTTATTATCTATCTACCTATATACGTTGACGCGAGGCCGTTTTACGCGAAGTGATTTTCTTGTAGGTATACGTCTAGCTACCTATATCCGCTGGTATAGAGGCGCTTTCATTTTATGCTGTCCAAATGCATTAGCAAGTAATAGAAACTTCAAAGCGGGCACGGAACGCGTTGGTAATAATACAAAAACATTCTCGGTACCTTCTGGCACTGACGTTTCACTTGAAATCTACATGCAGGAGGTACGCAGGTAGGTGGCAGTGGCTTTCCATCCCTTAGGTGGCACTTGTCATCTACTCTGGTTTACTTCCTCTCTCTCTCGTTAAGCGAGCGCGAAAACTTCGATAGGACGGATCGATTTCATTGCTCTGATTCACATTTTTACTTTACACCCTATATCGTACATGGCATTTACATACTGGAATCGCAGAGAGTCGGATTTCTGTTCCACGCAGCTGCTTAGCCATGCGTCTTCCGGGGAAGAAAAATATTCGCAATAAGTGTTGTATTCTATAAAGTTCCTATATACGTGAAGCGATGTAGACTTACTGGTGTACGGGGGGTGGTACGTATGATATAATGCGTTTGACAAGAGCGCCCAGCGATATTGGTTGCGCGTTGTCGGGAAATTTGGATATCTGCTTGAATATTCTGGTTGTCGTTAATGGTGGATCTGTCAGATGGGAAGGCGCTTCCGACTTAACCTTAAAGAATGGTGTTCCCGTTATACGGATTATTATCTACCACCTACTACGGGGGTTAAGAGTCATTACTGGTTTTCGTATAATTGGTATACCTGTGCTGGGTGTAAGGTAGGCCAGTGCAAATGGTAAGGGTAGTAGTTCGTTTAAGTAGAGCCATGTCTAATAGCGTGGGGGTAGCTCCAGGTTTTCTTGGAGGATTCATCGCTGGTTACCACTACCACGTGGTAAGAGGGTATGGCCAATGGGAGAGTTTGGCGAACTACCCCTGCTGTAATATAGATTGGAGTGGGGTGCGACCACGCCTCCCTTTAGAATCATTCTACCTCGTCGACGTCACGACTTATCACCCTCTCGCGGAAGAGGGAAAAAAATAATGAAATGAACATCGGGAGGGTATTGGGAATTATTATAAGAGCTGGCTGGGGTTGGCTTGGTTAGCTTATATAAATTGGGGGCGGATAAGCGAGTAGGGATGCTAAGGGTCGATGCTGGACGAATCGTACGCTCGGAGGATCGAGCAGACGGAGAGAGAGAGAGAGAGAGAGAGAGAGAGAGAGAGAGAGAGAGAGAGAGAGGAGGCGAGAGAACGACGGCTCAGCGAAAGCGATTCATTTTACCGGAGAGAAATAATTATTCATTCTTTTAACGAGGAAAATTCTATGGATAGAAATTTAAAAGTGGATATTATATAATTTTTATTCGAGTCACAGTTAATTGCTAATTCGAACCTTAGCAATTCGTAGCGTTTGAACTATTCATTTTTCATTCTTATTGTCATAGGTTATGTATCGCTATCTTCGTAATACGTATTATAGACGTAGCCTTAAAAACCATCCCTGAATTATCCGCGTAAAATATCCAATATCCAATAATCTCCGGTTCAAAATCGAAGTCAAATCGATCAAACGACGTTGACGCGAATCGTCTCGGATTGAGATTCACGAATTCAATCGGAAGTTCTCTGCGGTATGAAGAAACTCCACGAATTATTCAGTACCGATAATTCGGCGTCTTCGCGAACCGTCGACACGGCAACTTGTCCCTTTAACTGAACGAATGACGATGCTCGCAATAAGAAAATTTTGCGGAACGATATATAGAAAATAAAGCACCTAAGTGAACAAAACGAAAGTTCATGTGGGTACGAACACGGGAGGGGTGCCACGGTAATAATATTATACTGATAGAGGGTAGTTATAAGCACATGACGCCTGGCCTTATATCTCTTATCCTACATAACCGTATAGGTACCTATACCTATATCACATCCCATAGGGACATATAATATATCCCGACTATTGTAGAAAATCATAGCCATTCTTCGAATACGGTCAATGTGTCGAATCGTCCGTGAAATCAACTTTATTAGTTGTTCTCCAAAATAATATAGCATTAAATACACATCCAATCTCGCATAAACGTAAATCATACGATCTACGTAATTTACGATACGATGCGGTTCGAATGTGAATCTAGTCGCAAAATTATCATCCGATGCAGCATTACGAATGAACATAATTTTGCTCCGTATATGCTCTAGATATTTACCATAGATTAAAGAAATGTCAAGAGATCTAAATCACTATTTATTTACTATGCTTTTGTATGGTTTAGATTGTGCGACCAGTGTATAGTGCGATAAAGACATATCGAGTTGGCAAGTTATTATAGGTAGGCAGGTATATAAATTGTCACCTAGCAATAGCACGTGTATATATATATACATATATTGTACATAAAGTGCTGTCGCCATGGGTCTGAGATTGCTTTGTTTGGGGTAAAGAGCGATCTGAGAGAGACGACAAATGAGAGAAATGAGTGAGGGTAAGAAAGAGAGAAAGATAGAGAGGAGAGAGAAAGAGAGAGGGAAAAATCCAATATCTCGGAAAAATGAGAATTTCGACATGTACAATGCCGAGACTCGTATTATATATCACAACAGTGATATCGACTGATTATAGAAATATTATTTACCCTATGAATGGTGTTGTCAATGAGATTGCAATTAAAAATCTGAATTACCGTTACGGATCCTGTATGCGCGACAATGAATATAAAATCAAAAGGAAGGCATACCATTTAATTTAGTAACTGTCAGTCTTTCGCTACACAATTAACTTGTAACTCGTAACGTATATAGATTACTCTCTGTGGACCTTTCCAGCTTCCGCACTCTCGCTGCGGGGTGTGCCTTGCGTGACACTTGAACCCTCAGCTCCACGGCTCTCAGGAAGCGCGCGAGTGCGAGAGGGACGAGACGAAGTGCGCTACGCCTAGGAGGAAAGAGGATGGCTATGGTCGAAGGGTTCGTGTTAATTAATATCACGTCACACGCGTTGCCCGGCTAAAATCTGTCTCCAGCTCTCGTGGCACAATAATTTCTCCCTTGTGCTCGCAGCCTCCTCTTTTACTTTGTCTCTTATTATTAGCCACCCTTCACGATTATGGGAAAATTTACAAAACGCGATGTCCATTCGCTACACTTGGAATTGTCGCCTATAGAGACATATGGAGGTATATAAAAGTGAGAAATAAAATGTTACGATGCATCCAAAGTGTCTTAAGGTCCCTGACCGTTTCTAGGAGAATGACCTAATTTGTATAACAATGGAATACGAAATATCACTGGATCCGTCCTTCTACTGATCCCAGCAATCTCATCTCTATAGTCGGAATAATCTTGGTCCAGTTGAATCTCGAGCGGAGTGGGCTGCCATGTTTTAGATATATCCAGAGCCTCGTTCAGTGGCGCATGGAATTCTGTGGTCCATTCACAGCATCCCTAACAATCCTTTGATCATTTGTTTCGCGCGACCTGGTAACGGGGCAGGCAAGGACGATTAATCATTTTAGGGACGATTGATACTTTACTGACGATTGAATTAAAAATTATCTTCCGTACAGAACGTTTTTCTTTTTTCTCTTGGACTTTATTCTTATCAATATTTCCGATTTTTTCGGCTGTCAATAGTTCTCTTCTTCTTTTAGAAATTTAGACGTATCATCTTTTACCCAGGGCACATATGCTACCGGTACGT